CTCAGCTGATCACACGCATTGCACTTTCATATTTTCCTTTCTTTAAAAGCTTTTTCATTTTATTTTTGAAAACAATTTTACCATTTCCTTAGTGTGAGTCCTAACACACCTAAGAGTATGTCCGAATCCCACAAACCAAGGATCTGATACCAACTTGTAACGACTCGATTTTTCAAAGGAAAATTTTCATTTTTGATCATTCAAACACATTTCCATAAATTACAAAATCCCATATATATATATATATATATATATATATATATATATATATATATATATATATATATATATATGTTTTCAAACTTATATCAATTACAACTTTTATTTAAAATATCATAGTATCCCATAAAACGCCTGTGTGAGAGTGCACGCCGCGCCATCAAGCCTTGCCCTTGTCCTTTCCCTTGGGATCCGATGTACCTAAAAGAAATCCACAACCTGTAAGCTAATTCTTAGTGAGTTCCCTAAAGCATACCCCACACAATCCACGTAACACATATCATATTAGCTATAAAAGCTACATATACCACATAAGCCATGCATACATAAACCTGTAAGGATGCCGTGGGCTCCCCCCCAGGATCTTATACATTCGTGACATAGGCTACCCCACATGGTCTTTACCTGGGAATGCCATGGGCTACCCCACATGATCTTATATCCAACTGCCACAGGATCCCCTGGGGTCTTTCATGCAATAACATACATAATCAACCTAGCATATCATATCACAGAAGTGTCTAACATACTACATACACATACACAAACCTGTAAGGATGTCATGGGCTCCCCCAGGGTCTTATACCATCGTGTCATGGGCTACCCCACATGGTCTTTACCTGGGAATGCCATGGGCTACTCCATATGGTCTTATATCCAACTGTCACGGGCTCCCCCTGGGGTCTTCCATGCAATAACATACAAGCACCATGGGTTTTTAGGCTTGGCAGCAAACGTCTCGTCTATGGAAGGGGATAGGATTGACTCCACGACGTGGGCAACCCTTTTGCCACGACGTGGGACCCAAAAATTGGGCTATAAATAGAGCTTAAAGGGTTCTGGGTTTTATTGCTCAATTCTCTTCTTTCTCGTGTTGAAGCTTTGCGTTTTAACCCCCGAAGCCATCCGAAGCCCTGGTCTTCACATCCAAGTTCCGAAGGAAGGTTTTACACTCCCGAGATTCCCAAGAATATAGAGAAATCAACTTTCTCCAATCGAAGTTCTGCTCGGTTTTCGTCTCACCTTCTTCGATCTATCAAGTGAGTTCATACCCATACAACTACGTTTTCAAATACTTTGTAAATAATTTTATACACTTTTAAGGGGGGGGGGGGATACAAGTAAACACACAATTATCGTCGTGTGAAAAACATAAATCTTTTGCTATACTTTTTGTTATAACTATCCTACAAAAATGTTCAATAATGTTATTACAAATATTATACTTTACATATAAAGTCGACACTACACTAAGGTTTACCATACAAACGAAACACTTTAGGAAAAACTATAATAGGTATAGTTTACAAAGAAATCATGAGATTTTACATACTATAAGTACTATATCAAGGAAATACTTTCATATACAAGAACAAATGAAATCTTCAAACGTAAATCTATTTGATACTAAGTTTTGTGAGCCATTAAACTTCACGTACTTTCAAGTATGCAGTTAAATTCCTTTATTATACACCATAATCTCTTGTAGGGAGAGAGTGATACTTGTGTATAGATCTATACGGGATTGACAATCCCGCACCTAAACTGTTAGCTACAGTTAGACCGGCAGGTCTGGGGTGACAAATGTCATAACATTCGAACGCCTAAAGAACGTTGTTATAGGCAGTCTGGGTCAATAATATGGTTATAAAACTCACATGGAGTATTAAAAACACGTTGATTTACGGGGTTATCAAATGCCTTAGTGATTTTATACATACATAAATCTACTATTCTAGGCATGAAAAACACTATTGCATTACAGTTTTGGAACTTTTAAACTACTACACACTTATGGAAAATTTTTGTATTTCTAGAAGAAAACATTCAAAACAGTCGGGTCTTGGTAGAAGATTACTTTTATACTAGTAGGAAATATGGGATTTTCTAGGAGTTTTAAAATTTATACAAACATTGACATTAAATACTTATGAACTCACCAACTTAATTGTTGACACTATTTTAAAACTACTTGTATTTCTCATGGATTCAGTAATACAAGTAAACATCAGCTTTTGGAGAAGTGACGCTAAGGCGTTAGTTTAAAACTCATTTTGTCATCATATTGTAATTTGTTTTGAAACAATTATCATTCAATAATGTAACTTTTCAATTATATATGATGGTTGTTTTACTTTCTTTACTATATATTCAACTGTTACGATACTACATGAAGTCGACCGCCCTCGAACGATTCCACCGTTCTGGTTTGGGGGTGTGGCAATAACTCAATAAATCAAGGTTCTCGAAGTATACCTGGACTTAGGATGTTACAGAATCCATACCTTTTTCTATAATCGAACATAGAAACGAACTTTCAAGAACCCTTCTTTGGAATGTTAGCTCCAATAATGTAGTAGCCTCTAATGTGTCACACCCAAAACCTAGGATAAAAAATATAAGAGATGGGAGAGAGGTGAAAACTTATTTATCTCTGTGTGGAGGAGGGATCCGTTTTGGCTTAGGGTTAACACCCTTTATATAGCTTCCAGATAACCTTGAAACCCTATATTTGAATAATAAAATAATACAAATTTATTCCTATTCAAATATAGTTTAATTATCTAATTCAAGAGCTTCTAGAGCCCTTCCAAAAGCCTCTCAAAACTGTCCATAGGTTGGAGGGTTCTAGAATTGCCTTCTTTGTTAAACTATTGAACAATTCCAATTTAACCCTTGCACCTTTTATTAATTCCAATTAACCCAAATATAATTCCAATTAATTTTGATTAAGTCTTATTTAATTACTATTATTTTTAACTAATATATTAATCACATAATATATTAATAAATCATTTAATCTCTCTCTTAATATTAATCAAAGTTATTTCCTAGTTATAAGGGAAACCTAAAAATGACTTTACTTTTATTCATTATACCAAGTCAGTTAAGACCATAGACACCCTAATCTAATAGGAAGTCTGCCGACGAACGAACAAATATAGGAGAAAGAGGCATCTTCCGTTTGTTCAGTGGGTTCTTCAAAGTTAGAATAAAGAGAGGCAAAAAATGGGCGAAGGATTCACTTGATTCCATCTATCTCGGTGAAACCTCTGTCGACCACCCATCGTTATCTTCAACAAATCATGAGTGTGAAAACCAAACCTATCCATTAAATTGAAATCTGCATCTAAAGTTTTTGAAATACTTGTACTATAATGTTTTGAATATTATGATTGGGTGTTGATTCAAACAATTAATGAATGGTTTGGTAGACTTTTAAATGAAAATTTTTATTACCATTTTTGGGACGTTATAAGTTGGTATCAGAACCTTGATTTGAGGGATTCGAGCGCACTTTTGGGTGTGTCAGAACTCAAACTGAGGAAATGATAATTTTTCTAAAGAAAAATAAAGTTAAACTTCAAAATGTTTTTTACTAAGAAGAAGGGGTGAGATGCATGCAATCAGCCAGGCTCAAGTAAGTGATTCCCAAATTACCCATACCTATGTATTATGATTAGTATGCTTGATATGAGAATTGCATGTTAGATTAGGTCTAAGGATACATTCAGGGATCATATGATAGAATTGCCTAATTTATGTGATGCCTTATAGCGTAGTGGAACTTGATGCTATGTATTACTTGGAATTAATATCGGCTCAATTAATTGCTAACTATATGCTTTCAAAGTTGTATACGATTAGGATTGTATATCCCTAGAATGATCGATTTGGCCTCATTTCCTGTTCCTTGCTTGGTTGTGTACTTAGGGTAGAATCATAATTTGACAGTTTATGCAATCCTATTTTGTGTATAACTTGCATGCATAATGCAACAAACAGAAAACTTCCTATTAGATTAGGGTGTCTATGGTCTTGGAGAGTCTAGGATATGTATGCTGTATACCCTAGGATTGGTATATGATTTTAGTATGGTGGCTTAAGGAATGAGGACTAACCTTGAGGAAGGTAAAGGTAAGTGTGAAAGGTAGTATTGAACCCATACTACTAGAAACACATGACCTGTATGTAACGCCCGTATATCAGAGCTAGTCAATTTAGAGACAATGAGCGTTAAAAATAACTTTTTGATGGAACATTATTTATAAGGATTAATCTTAACTAAGTTGTAGTATATGTTACAAGGATTCCGTACATATAAAGAACGCCAAAATCCGAGTTATAACAAAGAAGTTATCAATACTAGATAAACAACCTTTTACGACGCTCATTGCGCGTCGTAAAAAGCGCAAATGGCGCGCAAATGTGCATCAAGGAAGGCCTTGTCATAAAGAGAGACGACGCGCTTTTGCGTGTCGTCTATAGATGATGCGCATTTACGACGCTCATTTACCACACACAATTACAACGCGTGTTTACGACACGCAATGCGTATCAAGGAAGGCCATGTTATAAAGGAAGATGACACGCATTCGCGTGTCGTAACCTTACGACGCGCACATTAATGACACACAATGCGTATCAAGAAAGCCGCTGTCAAGAAAGGCCATGTCATAAATGAAGATGACACACATTTTTGCGTATCGTAAATTTAAATGTTTAAAAGAAAATAAATTTATATATTTATTAATTTTTAAATTAAATTTGCATTTAATTTCTCATAATAAAAATAAAATACCATATACAAAAAATACAATCCATTGCATAATATAAAATAAAATTTCATACTTAAAAAATAAAATAAATTGCACAAATTATAATGTCATACAAAGAATCATTCAAATGTTACACAAAAATAATACATTGCTAACATGAGTTATACATTCATATAAAAATAAAAAATAATCATACAACTCTGTTTCTTACTGGAAAGGAATGCCAAACATGATTACAAGTCTCCCTTAATCTTGATTACTCACCTGCTTAAGTAGAATGTTGTTGTTGAGAAGGTTACCTAGCAACAGAGAAAAACACAACACCTCTCCCACAATCACAACATCATTTACAGAAAAAGGATTGTCAATTACTTTCATTAAGACTTTCATTCAATCACAAAAATATTAAATAAAAGGGTGAAAAAAATAACTTACTTTTGATAAGTTGATCTCCCTTAGAGAAAACACAGCTGAAGCATTGAACAAGACCCTAGGGTCTTCTTCTAATGTAAACACAACGCTCGTCTGCAAAATTAGGGTGATAAAATAAAATTTGAATATTGTTTGGGTAGTTTATATATGATTTGATAATTTGATTTAAAATACAATAAAATAAATTATCTTTGTTATTACCTTATAGGGCTTGTCAATTCCTGGGATTATAGGTTCTCTTGCTAGTATTAGAAAATGAGTTATGTTATCTAAATCATCCTGAACATTCAATATAACAATTGTAAGACAAAAGGAGAAATGTATATTTGAAAATACTTTGAGATATGATTTTTTTAATGTTATCAATCCATAAATTAAGCGCAACAAATAGTTACCTATCTTTTTTAAAAACTTTTATGGGGGTATAATGACCGAAATGCCCTTGTATTTATATACATGTTTACAAATATAACTTTAATAACTAGGTGACACCTGGATTGTTTGTGCTAGAATATCAAGCCCAATTTCAGCAACCCGAGAACTTGCAACTGCTCCAGTGTCTCGTATGGATTCCGAGGCTACAATTTATTAAAAAAAACTCTTAACAAGTTTGAAACAAAGAAAAAAACACAATATTAAAAGTTTAAACGCAAGAATTAGCAACTGGTTTCATTTACCTATCCATAGTTTCAATTTATAGTAATCAAAATATAATAATAAAGAAAAAAGTTAAGAAGAACTTACAGCTTCTACCATCAAACAATGAGTCAGCACTAGCTTCAATTACTTGATATGTTCCAACAATAATGTACATAATAAGTGTAGCCATTTGAGACATGAGGATCATAGGGTAAACTCCCAATTCCATCAGTTCTCTGGCTCTTTTCACAGTTTCAGCTGTGTTTGATGACATTGCTAAATCCAGACTTCATATTGGGTCATGAGACTCACATGTCTCTTGCTACCCAATACATATAGTGGATTGATATAGACACTATCCTACCCAACATTTTTCTTATTTTTTTCCTATCTATTGCTAAGTAGATTGATTGTTCAATCACAGTGACAAACAAGCTACTTTATTGATGAAAAACTCACTTGAAACCCTCTTTCGAATGCCTTGGTTCGAAAATTGTCAGCATCACGCACAAATAATGTCACGGTATAGAGTGGCCATGTTCTGAAGTCACAAAATTAAATGAACCATGTCATATTTCTGCCATTTAGTGGTGGAAGCACCAATGAATCAATAATCATGTCATCCTTCTGCACCTATAAAGATTATAACCAAAGAAAATAAGGAAAAAAATAACCAAAATAAGAAAAACAAAAAAGATAAATTTGGAATCATGTCTAGACAAAAGACATTCAATGGTTGTATGTACATACATAAAAATGGTAAAAGACATTTAATGGTTGTATGTACATACATCAAAATGGAGTGATATGAAACATGATACTAGCAATCCACCCATCGAGTGCAGGAGGGTAAATATGTAATAATGCATGCACTTGTGCATGATGAGTTTGAACCAAAGAAAGCAAATCTGGCCTTTCAATATCTTCATCACCACATAAATTACCCCAAACTATAGGGACTATTCGTGTAATTTACTCTTGTTTATATTCCAAAATCCAATTCCTTTGACAGATTTACAAACCAAACATAAATATACATCAAATGCAAAGTAAGTTTAATTTTATAAGGATTAGAAATCTTTTCACATTTCTTGTATATATTTTGATATACAGGATGTATCAAAGGTGCATATTTTCAATGCAAGATATAGAGAGAAAATAGGAGATATTGAAGGAGCTCGTGCTGCATTTCAACTTTGTGATACTTTTGAATATGATTCATCTTTCATTGAAACCACAATAAAAGAGGCTAATATGGAGAAACGTCTGGTAAACACAATCAATCATCAATCATGACTATCATTTTATTTGCATTTGTAGCAAAAAACCGACTTTATATTTTATAATAAACAGGGAAATTTGGATACAGCTTTGGACATTTATAAAAAAAGCACTCAAAATGACAACAGAAAAGGAGAACAACATATTATCCCTATTCTTTATATTCACTTTTTCCACCTCAAATACTTGGTATACATTTCATTTCTAACACTTATATAAATTTATTTATAATTGATTATTCTGAGTTTAAGAAATATATGCTTCATGAAGCATTGTTATATAAGTTTTATTATTATTATTATTATTATTATTATTATTATTATTATTATTATTATTATTATTATTATTATTATTATTATTATCATATTTATTGAATGTTTGTAGATCACTAGTAGTGCAGACGCTGCCATGAATTTACTAATAGCAGGTGTCCAACAAGTGCCTCATTCCAGATTACTTCTAGAAGTATTTTTTATCTCTTTCTCTCTCTCTCTCTCTCTCTCTCTCTCTCTTCTTTTTTTTATTAAAAAAAATCTAAAATGACGGAGGCTTCGATGTACTTAGGTGGGTACCAGGTTGACTCGGTGCAACTTTTTATTTTTTTGTAATTGATTAATTTTGCAACGACACACGAAGGATCAAGACATTTGAAAAAATGGACCGAATTATGGAGACTACCATAACTTGTGAATCAGAAAGTTTAGTGCAACGTTAACATATAAATAAGGAAAGAATGGGGAAGAATCAAGTCATCAAGATTTTACCTTTTTGTGGTTGTCCCATTCTTTGATACATTAGACCAAGTACATAACAAAATAATATACCTTGGATAGAGCTTGACTAATAACAATTTTCCTACCAAGCACCGAAGGGAAAAGGACATCGGGTAATGTTATGTTCGCCACCATAGCATTATGGAATAGAATGCCAAAAGAAGAGCAGTTCCAGCCATAATTACTGCTAAACTAATTATATCTCTCCCAAGTATTAAGATTAACCAACATCCCCATGTGATAAGAACTACAATTGGAGAAATGACAACAAGCCATGCACAGAGGGACAGAAAACCGCATAGTATTCCCAATTGAGGGCCTTGGAGGAAACTTGGCCATTTTCTAGCAAAGATCTAACTGAGAAAATATGACAACAATAACAGAAAGTGTTAGGTGGTAACTTTTAAGAGGTTCAAAATGAACAAATTGAAACCAACTGATTAATAACTTAAGTCATGTTAATCAAAAGCTTCCTACTTATGGTTGAACATTTAAGAAGTTCAAAATGTAATGTTATATACTTATATACCTAATTTCCAAATCTTCCTATTTTTCACTTTCAAGTTCTGTTTAGCTGAAGAATGTAACATGAGGTGATCTCGTAGACCACTGATAAAGAAACAGTAGTCAAAGAAAGCTATTGAATTGCCCATTGCTTCAAATGAGAACCCATAATGACAAAAACTGGTTAACAAAATAGGAAATAAGGAAGAAGTACCTGTATATCCGCCATGGTTGCCAATTAACAGCCCAAAGTATCGCAAAAGAAGCCAACCCCAAGAAAGAGAAAAGGGTTCCTGATATTATGCATGCCAATATTACATCCCTGTCATCCCCTTCCATGGCTTCTTCATCCCTTTTCTCTCTAGCTTTTCAACTACACCGCAGGCAATATATAGAAACAAATCAAAGCGTGATTAACATATAATTTAAAACAAAACGTAAAATCCAACCTAACTAAGTTACTTTGAAACCAAAAAGATATGCAATTGAAGCAAACAACTTACTTCACAGAACTGGTTTCAGCTGCCAATAACATCGTGATAACTTCTAGGATGCGAAATTGAGTTCAAGAGGAACTAGGGTTTAGTTTATTTTTTTTCAGTTGGATAGCACCATCATGTAATCAATAAACAATTTTCCATTGAGATTGTCTTTGATGAAGCTCTTCAAAATGACCATTGAAGATCTTCAACCTAATGTTAAACCACTACTAGAAAATAGACCTTTAATGACGCGCTTTTTACGACACGCGCTGATTAATGATACGCAAAAGGACGTTCCCTTAAAATAGTGTCATATCTCCAAAAAAATTTAAGTCAAAATTAGCCAACGAAGTCTAAACGAGAGTTGTATAGCATAATCTCACCTATGCGTGGATATAAAAATCGTCGAAAATAGAGCTCGTATGCGAAAGTTATGAATTTCTAAAGTTCGGGGCGTGAACCCCAAGGCTGTGTCATAGCTCACGAGGTGAACATATGTAGTTCACGAGGCGAGCCTAGCTCACGAGGTGAGCATTGGTGGCTCACGAGGTGCACAAATGATGGACGTCTTTCAAGGCAAGTGGCCATGACGAACGCAATGACGTATCGAGCTCACGAGGTGAGCATATGTAGCTCACGAGGTGAACATTAGAAACTCACGAGGTGAACCCAAAAAATTCACCCTATAAATAGAATTCAAGGGGTAGCCGAGTTTGGTTGCTCATCTCTTACTCTCCCACTCCCGATACTCTCTCTAAGCCCTATTTAACCCTCCGAAGCCCGGGTATCATTCCCGTTCCCCAAAGCAAGTCCTGAAGCCCCGAAGATCCAGAGGACTAAAGTTTTCGAGCCGAAGCTCTGCCCGCGAGAAGCCAATTTTTGTGAAGATTTTCCAGATCTACCGAAGAATACTACTTTTACAAGTCGTAACGCTGTCCGATCATCTTATGATCAAGTGAGTGTATAGTCCCTTTTCATAACACGATTTTAATAAAAGTATTGTTTGAATGTATTAAGTATATGTTTTGTGTGAGTGTGTAGTCACTTTCTTCTAACACATAAATATGAAGTATTTGTTATGAAATACGTGCTATGTGTTTATATATTGTTGTTTATTTGAGATGAGTGTGGAATGGATGTTTTATATAGTTTTAAATGAGTTAAATTGTATATGTATTTTATATCTACAAATATGTTGGGTAGAACATGGGTAGATGAGATAGTTGGTGTTTGATAAAAGGATGTGTTGGATAATGAGATAAGAGGTGATATAGATCTAGGGATGAGGGTGACAAGTGGAAAATAAGTGAAACCTTTACCCAAACGATGGCCCCCGTCATTCAACAGAGTAGGGATGACAACCACAAACTATTCTAGACAATCAGTGGAACACTAGCAGGCTCGCACCTTGTAGGTGTTTGTGAACGATGTGTTCACCGGTGTACTCTAAAAAAACCCATTGACATGTATCGCAAGAGGGATCTCGAGAATGATACTGTCAATAAACAAGATAAACTTGTTATTAGATCCGGGCTTATGGATCAGATCAGGATTTAGGTATAGTAAATTGTCCCTAGTGAGGGAGTATGGATTGGGCACAGTTTTAGATCCGGGAGTATGGATCAGACCAAGAGGTTAGTTTTAGATCCGGGAATATGGATTTGGTGAAGATATTAGTTTTAGATCCGTGAGTAGGGATCGGGTAAAAAGGAAAATTTTAGGTACGAGAGTTAGATCGTGTCGTTGTGGGGATCGATGGGGTAGGATAAAAGTTGTTTTTATATGGTGAAATTATATAAGTTTGTGAGTTCTATATGTATGTATGTGTATATATATATATATATATATATATATATATATATATATATATATATATGATACAACATTATGGGTTGAAAACCCTATATGTTCACCAGGCTCCCAAGCCTGATCCACTCAGTTTTCTTTGTATCATAGGTATCAATACGAAGACATATTTCACTGAGAGATTAAAGGAAATGTAAATCACTAGTGTAAATAAATGTATGTTCTATTTATGCTTATGTATCTGTATCAAAACATGACATCCCGAGATTTTGTTATATAATGAAAATACATTTCTTTAAGAAATGCTTTGATAAATTCTTATCATATTTTGTTTTGGGAAGAAATTCCACAACTGTTTTCTTTAAAAGATTACTCCGATTTTAAAAACAAAGCATAAACAAATCGGTCTTTTCTGGCCGTGAAATTGG